CCAGCTCTCTAAAGAACCAAGCTTTAAAATATGTTTATTGTTTGCATAGTAGGATTATTTGTCTTCGGTGAGTATGAGAACTTAAAGAACTTAAAACCCTGAGCTTGTTAATTAACCTCCAAAAATTCCCAAAGAAATCTTAACGAAACCCTTTAGGGCCCATCCTTGGAGACCCAGGGGCTGTAGGTCGATTTCAAGTTAGGGCATGAAGAGCTCTTCATGCCCTAACTTGAAATCGACCCACAGCCCTTGGGTCTCGGAGGATGTTTAGGGCCTAAATTAAAGATAATTATTTCAGGGGCATTTTTTCCTTTTTAGGTTCAAGCAAAATGGGAACCTAAAACGACAATGTTGCGTATATTGTCCTTTCAGATCGTTCAGATCTACACCATTGAACAATCGGGAACAATGTTTGTTTATATTAAATTTTCTGCTGTTGTTTGGGCAGCTGAGTAGAGAGAAACTCACTGAGAATTTTAACTCGATCAGGGACAAAATAAAACGTTACAAATGTGGTATTTGATACCCAGTAATACCACTATTCTAACCCTCGAGTGTTCTTATCTAAAAAAAGAAAAACATTTTGATAAAGTAGCAAATTGACTGACCTTGAATTTGTCGCAGAGTGTGAGCCGTAACTTGTAAGTGAACGGATTGTGTACATCGGGCTCAACGAGAGATTTGGCGCGCAAAAGGACTTTACCTTTAGGCGCTGCAGACATTTTAAAATTCAATTAAAGCACATCAAAAGTCTTGAACAAATCGTGCATATTTCAACAACAACTATACGGTCTCCAACACTATATTGACCTTCTGATGAAAACAACTCACGTACAACATGCTAAGAAGTTTACAACCTCGTTTCTGTGACGACCTGGGTGACGTGTTTGGTATGTTTGTGAATAAAATTTTAATACGAGACCGTAAAGGTCAACCCACGGAAAATACTTAGAAGTGGAGGATATTTTTCTCTTAGCAAATGGGCAAAGGTCGCCACTCAAGGAGCTAAAAGAAGTGCTGCAACGTGAGTTTAAGTATCAAGTAAAGCATCTCCGCAAGCTACACAAATTTGAAAGATATCCAAAAGCAATGCTACATTGGTACCCCGTGCGCCAGATCTCAGCTTTTGTCGTGCAATACCGTTATTTTCACCGATTGATTATCTCCGTTGTTCAATCTTAAAGCCTCTTCGACTTGAGGAATAAAAAAATCAAGCATGCTGGAAAATTTCTAACTATCCCGATCCCAGTCTCCAACCTACTTGGGGATATTCGATTACAGAAATAACACTACAATTTTTTTTCACCGTTTTCGCGTTTTTTTTTTTTTTCTCTATTTTATTTTCTTAAGAAAGTTGATGGTTTGAAAAGAAACAAATTGATCGGTGGCTTAGATTAGGGAAGTGATTCCAATCCACTCACCACTTCGTACTTGTCCACACCATCATGTGCACTGTTCCAGTTCTGAAAGTCGCTCAATATTGTTTGTAATCATAGCAATTACAATTTCATCAAATGTGATTGGCACGTTTGCTGCCTTATTAATTTTTTTTAGGCTTGTACCACTTTTCTCATTGTAAAGCTCCATATAATTAACAATTATTCCACGAGCGCGCGTTGGATATGAGATGATGGGTAGCCAACGAGGCGCGTAGCGCCTCGTTGGCTATAATCATCTCATATCCAACAAGCGCGAGTGGAATAATTGTTTTATTAAAAACGTTCAATTAAATTATTAAATTTTATTAAATTCTTAGCTCCCTTTTAATCTTAAGCTGAAACGTACGCTTGCCATATTTGTAGATTATGGTATATTGGCTGATAGACCATAATGGCTAAGCCAATAAAAAGTCTTGAATTGCATTATCCAATGATCCAGTTTTTAATAATGAAAATTATTAAAAACTAGATCATTGGATAATGCAATTCAAGACTTTTTATTGGCTTAGCCATTATGGTCTATCAGCCAATATACCATAATCTACAAATATGGTAAGCGTACGCGTCAGCTTAAAATCAAAAGGGAGCTAAAAAATCCAGTTTCTTCTCACAAAATAATAATTTCTTGGGGGCGTTTTTAATAAAACAATTATTCCACTCGCGCTTGTTGGATATGAGATGATTATAGCCAACTCGGCGCTACGCGCCTCGTTGGCTATCTATCATCTCATATCCAACGCGCGCTCGTGGAATAATTGTTAATTATCTTCGCTGCTGGTGTCCTCAGACCTGGTTTGCGGGCTTCGATCTCTGAAAAGGTGGTGTTCCCTGGATAATATGGTAGTTCTTTGTACATGGTACATTGACAATCTACGTGGTTAAAACAATTGGATTAGAGGCTACCCAAACATAAAGGTTGTCCAACTTTTATTTTGAAAAATGTGAGATGACTGGCAACAAAAAAACGAAAAAAGCGTTACAGGTCATCATAGTAACGTAGTGATCATAACAACACAAACCATTTATGAAATTTCTGTCGGAAAGAAACTGAAAAAAATAAGTTATTACATGTTCGCAGGGGGTTTCCATAGGGGAATTCGTACTACTCACCCTGGACCGTGATTCATTGCAAAACTTGGTGACCGACTTGAAACGTACTCACAGGCTTGATTTTTTTTTTTTAAGAAAAGAAATGGTTTTCAAAAGAGACGAAATCGATGATGAAAGGGACTGGAAAACCGTTTGAAATAGTATTCCGAGTCCAATTCACCGACCATTTCGTTTCCACATTTACCCCGCCAACAAATTGGATCCAGTTCAGTCCATATTTTCTTAGCGAACCACAAAGTGCGGGAAAGTGCAGACAAAGCGCAGGCAAAGTGCGAGAAAAGTGTGGACAATACGCATTTCAAGGAAAAAGGTTTTTGATGTTCCATTTCTAGTTAACAACTATTCACCGAACTGGAGGTGGTTAGTGATGGATATTTACCGAGCCGCGAAGCGGCGAGGTCATGATATCCACCGCCAACCACATCCACTGAGGTGAATAGTTGTTTTAGTATATACTAAAACAGTGAGATATTATACACCACCGTCGTTAATTTAAGTGATTTCTTCGCTTGTCACGGATGCAAACCGGGACGCCATTTTTTCTCGAGTTGCTCGGAGGTAAATAGGAAAGGATATTCGGAGTTTGACTAGCCAATCAGAGCGCGCCTTCAACGCTATCAACTGTTTTAGTATATACTAAATCACTTTATCAACGAGTTGGCCATAGGTATTCTTTGATTATCAATTGCTCTTCTTTATTTCCTTATCATTCATCAGTTCCACGTCAGTCAGCCACCCATCCTTATTAATATATATAATATATATATAATATATATAATATATATAATATATGTATAATATATATATATATAACATATATATATAATATATATATTATGAATATATAAGCGTGTGCTTTAGAGCTTACTTAGTAGACTGGAAAAATGTAGACAGTGTGCAGAGGCCGGAGTAGGGTCAGAATTCCGCAGTTAAAGTGAATTTAGCAGCACAAGTTAGTGCGAAGTATTCAGTGAGAATCAAAGTGTGAGAGCTTACGAGACTGACCAGAGTTACGCAGAAAAGGGTAAAAGTGGATGTTATTAGAATTTTGCAGTGGAAAATCGTGTAGCAAATAGAAAGACAGTTTGAGAGTCCTTGTGCCTCAGTTCGCTGAGCGTGAGGTGGTCGATAACTAGTCCCCTCCCCCCACCACCAGATTTGAAAGCGTAACATTATATTCGAATAAGAGGTTTTTCTCGAGTTTTAAGTTTAAAATGTTTTAAAAAAACGTTTTAAACATTTATCAAATCAGAAATAACGGGAGATGACAAAACGGGGAGCCCTACTCCATGGAGTACCCTATGCAGTACCTAAATGGAGTACCCCTAAAAGTCGTGTATTGGTCAGATAAAATACTTTATAAAGATGGTAAATCGTTTAGTTGTACACATCTTAATGTATTTTGATCTTGCCGGCTGTATGATTGTCACAGTTCGATACAGTCCACGAATTGACCGCCATCTTGAATTTAACATTAAACTGCTGGCCACTTCGAACGGAAAGCTTAATGAAATGTAATTTGTGAACGTTTTCTTTAATGGACCGATTACCATTATCATCTTGTGATCTTCAAGAGGCCAAAAGTACGGACGTACTTCAATCGGCAGCGGGTTTTACGTCTTTCAAAATACTTGTTTATGTAGGGTGTCTGCAAGAGGTGTGGCGTTTAATCTATCAACACAAGTTACACAAGGCCTCATGTGTTTCTTAATGAGAAGCCACGAGGATAAAAGCTAGGACTTAAAACAAGTAATTCATGTGTTTAAACTGACCTTCTCTTCACCCATCTATTTGTAGCGTAATAAAATTGAGATATGTAAAGAAACAACAACAACAACAAAAAACACCGATGGGTCAACAAACACATCTGACTGGGGTGGTTGATTTGGCAAATGCAGTAAGCTGAAATATTTTACCCCGTGCAAAACTCGAAACAGTGGGTTTTGTTGATCATATGGAGTTTTTTTGTCTTCCGGTCAAAGAAATCGTTATACAGCGGTAAAACCGAAATGGAGGAACCAGTAACATTGAGAGCCCCCCTGCCCCCCCAAAAAACTGGACGATATCGAACTGTGACAATCGGAGAGCTGGCAAACTCAAAGTGTATTAATTACAAGATGTGTACATCTATACGATTTACCATGTTTGTAAAGTATTTTTTTTGACCAATACATGATTTTTAGGGTTACTCCATTTAAGTACTACATAAGGTACTCCATGGAGTAGGGCTCCGCGTTTTGTCATCTGCCAGAAATAACGTACTTTACAAGTCCGATTAAAGTTTTCGTAGAATAGGTGCTACAAAAACTACTTTCATATAGTTAACGACGGTTGACGAACTCTGCCATTCGTCAAAGCTAAAGTTGTTGCTTGTATGATGACTGACCTCATCTTTTCAAATTCTTACTAGAGACATGTCGTCGTTGCAGTCTTGGAGAGGTAGTTTTTGCCAATCAATTGCTTTTTTTTTTAGAAAAATAATGTAAGTATACCACATTACGATAATGAAATGATGGTATACGAAGAATAGGCACGTTTTTTTTTATGATCGGCAACAAAATAATTGACGTCGGAAGTAAAATCATGGATTGTATGAGTCTATGTAGAAAGTGACCGTTAAAGCTAGCGCTATTGCTTCAAATTCCTTCAAATATGAAATATCTTACGTACGCCATAGCTCACGCGCTGGTTGTGTGCCGTAACCGTAAGCGGTTGTTTCCTGCGCTGAAAATGTCTGAAAAGTTTGTAAACTACCCTATCGGTTGATCATTTCACTTATGTCTTTTCAAACTCCTTCTAAATTTCTTGCTTATCTCAAATAAATACCCGGTAAAACCGTAATTGGTCAAGAAAAGTTAGCAGTTTTACAGGAAAGTTAAAATTATTTCATACATCTTCTGCTCAGAAATTTCGAGTGCGGGGAAATAACGATATTAGAACTGATTCTAACCTTCATGTTTCATGGCTTGCGTAACTTATGTCAACTTAGCAAGCTGACGACGCAATAAGTAAAATCGACATTTTCCAAACTGCAACGACGCGTTTTTTCTCTCGGAAAAATAACGCACGGCTCCGATACGAAAAAAAGTGCGAAGTGAAATTTTGACGTCATAGTCATAGGTTATGACGCAATGTGCGCGAGATAACTCAACCAAAGCCCGCCCCAGGCCACTGTATGGTCTACGCTGTCAGCCACATCTTGGACGTCCCGCATGTTCATCCAATCAAGCGAGCAAGGAGATGAATGAACTGCGAGGACGAAAAAGCCGTGCCACAAGCTAAAATAAATTATTACACGTCGAGTTTTACATTACTAAGCTTTCACGATGCATTGTAAGATGTCAGTCAGTTTTGATCAAAACAATCGAATCACCGCTGTTTTTCCTTGAGCTGTGTCCAAAATTTGTCTTTCACTCCTGAGTTTCCTCGCGATAACAAAAAAACCATAATACGCAATAAAGATATACTGTGAGGATGACATGTTATCGAACTTTTCCTCCTGATTTGGAAAAAATGCTCTTTTCCACTTCCCAGAAACCAAACTGTTATCTGATTGCATGACGTTTCGTTAGTTCTTAGAATGTACTGGTCGTATATCAAAATTACAAATATACAAAATGTTAGTTTTTCATTAGAAGAACGTCACTGCCAGTACTGTTACAAATACCAGTACATCAGTGTACAGTGATGCAAAGCACCCAGAAACTTCTTTATTTCCTCAACCTTCGCCAATTATTAAACATCCTTACTAAGGACTCAAATCAAAGAGCAGTATTTTTGGGAATCTATCATTTATTCATTGAAAATCTCATTTAATGAAAGGCATTATTAAATGTCTAAATCTGTCCATATTCTGATTTTAAATAAATCTGCCCATTCCGAGTAACCTGAAACTAGCTTGGAACTGACTTCTTTACTCTACAACACCACAGCAAGACTATCAGTGTTAAATAAGCTGCTGCTTTTATCAGTCAAATCTGTCAAATATATTATTTATTAATATCATTTATCAACACCATTTGTTAATTTTATTTACCACTATCACTTATTACTATTCTATGATTGCTATTAATACTATCTTCTATTTACTTGAAATTTATTTTCGAGAAATTCAATTTGTAAGCTGGTTTATAACATACCAGAAGTACATTTCCTGGCAACTTGCTTAAGACTTCAATTTTGAAAGCTCAGCACCAGACAGCTCCTATTTGCATTCCTCTCATTTGTAAGAAAATATCACATCTTTTAAATAGATTCAGCTGATAAATTCCAATTCTATTCCTGCTTCACATCTCTGCTCATTTATTTTTCAGTTAATTAAATTCTACTGATTAAAAAAAGTCGATACTTTCAACTACCAGTGTGCAGTCACTGATGGTAATAATTCTTAGATGAGTCTGGACTCTCGCACACCATTTTCAACCGGAGGTAGCAGACTCGATAGCAAAACAGTTAGTTCATCATGATGAGAAAGAAATTCTTGGAACTCTTCTGCAAATACAAATATGAATAAAGTAATTTATTAAAAACTAGATCATTGGATAATGCAATTCAAGACTTTTTATTGGCTTAGCCATTATGGTATATCAGCCAATATACCATAATCTACAAATATGGTAAGCGTACGTGGCAGCTTAAAATTAAAAAGGAGCTAAAAATTTAATAAAACAATTATTCCACTCGCGCTTGTTGGATATGAGATGATTATAGCCAACTCGGCGCTACGCGCCTCGTTGGCTATCTATCATCTCATATCCAACGCGCGCTCGTGGAATAATTGTTAAATAGTCGGAGTTCAAGCGGCCAAT